TTCAAATTATCTTAGATAGAAATTCATAAAAGTTTTTCTTTTTAAATCTAAGATTTGAAAATTTAATACAAGGCTCCTATCGTATTTTTATAATAGCAGTTGAAAAATAAAAGAAATATATATTATGCATAATTTTTTTTTTTTTTGAAGCATTCAAAGTATGTATTTGACAAAATACGTAAAAATTACGAAAATTCGCAAATTATTTTAAACTAGAAATACTTAAAATATTTTCCTTTTATATCTAAGATTTGAAAATTTAATACAAGGCTCATATCATATTTTTACAATAGCAGTTGAAAAATAAAAGAAATGCATAGGTAGTCACATTTTTTTTTACAGCAGTGGTCGGGAACGCCGGGCAAATACTGTCGAGCTATGTAGTGCGTGTTATGGATTGCGTGTATTTGTGTATGAATGTGTGTAGATGTGTGTATAATAAAATGGTAACAAGGTTTTTGGTAATAGTTGCTGTGGCTGTATAATACACAATAATAATAATACAATATATATAATAAATCACAGCAATACAAATGTATAAAAATATAATATTAATAAATCACAGCCCTTATGGCTAAGTAATACAAATATAATAAATTGGCCCTTCTGGCCCAACAGAGTAAGAGTAAATGCTAGGCCCTTATGGCGCGAACCAAATCAAATAATGATAAGCACAGCTATCAGAGTTGATGCTCTTGTAAAAATAATTAAGATAATTAATATTACTTAACGTGCGGCCCTTCTGGCTTAACAATTAAATAAGTATAATAAAAACAATAATATATATATATGGCCCTTATGGCATAACAGAATACAGGGTTATAATATAAATGCTCAGCTCTTATGGCTAGACAGATAAAGTGTATAATATAAAATAATGTGTGGCCCTTATATGACCAAACAAAATGTAAATACAAATAATAATATACGGCCCTTATGGCACGACAGAGTATCAATAGTAATATATGGCCCTTATGGCACGATAGAATCTAAATAATTATATATACCTACGGCCCTTATGGCACGAAAAATAAAATATGTATACAACAAAAATATAATAATAAAATAACTCACAAGGTGTCGGTGCACTGATGGCCAGCCGCTGCCTAAAAATACAATAACAAAAAAAAACACAACAAGATACAGTGATATAAATTAGGAACATACAAGYTTCAATTACTATAATAATAATAAGCCCTTCTGGCACTTGTGACAATAAAATAAAGAAAATACAACAAGATTTACCACTATTGTGAAAAA